CTGAGACGTGATTTCGTGGAGGCTTACGATTTGAACTGATCTACACTGCCACTATTCACTGTTGTCCTTTGCTGTTTTTCAAGGAACCCGCTGTAAGTATTTGTATCTCTTCCTCCTAATTTTAATTTTTCGTACTTGGATCGCTGGTGAGATCGTCGAGTTTTGTTTCAGCTGCGCCATAGGGTGCGTCGACAGTCCCAACAGTGGTATCAGAGCTACTTGTACGATATGAATTTGGGTTAAATTTTTTGTTGATGCGATATGTATGAGATGCATGTTCTAGTTTTATCGATTTCGGTAAATATGTTGATACCATTGTTCGAATCAATAACCTCAACGATTAATATTTTTTCAATCGATTTGTTGTTGGATGATCTGTGGGAGTGTGATAGCAGATCGTGTTTGGAAGTGGAATAATGGTTGTTCCGATGCAGAAAACCTTCGGGATTGAAAATCCCAAAAGCACGATTCTATTGATAATTGTTATCAAATTGTGATGTTTTTCCATGGAAACAAAAGTACTATTTTTCAAAAAAATCCCTTGACCCTCATCAGCAGTACAAATTGAAGGCCCATATTATTTTTTTGAACAAAGGCGTAAGAACGTGTATATATATATGATATGTTTATTTTGCACGGTGTTTGACATGCATGGTTATAGCCCTTGTTCACTTTATAATGGTTTAATTTGAAATATGGTCTGCGAGCCGTGCATTTCTATATCTCTTTTGTATTTCTCTTCTCATCTTACTCCCTCGTATGTAAAACGAGTTTCTTTTAAAATTGTAAACCTATGGAGATTCACAAGGAGCAAAAGAATGGCAAGAAGATGCCTAGAGAGTAGTCTTAGGCTTTAGAGTTCTTGGTTCTCCCATTGGCTTGGGATGGCCCACCTTAGTCATTGTTTTGGGCTATAACCATTGCATCATATTTATTGCTATATTTGTTATCTATGCAATGCATCAAATGATAAAATAAGAATAAATATTGATGAGATCAATAAGGGCCTAATATTAAAACGAACAATGATGAGATAATTATGCAAATCCCTCTTTATAATATAAGTTAACTTAACCGTCCAATATTTACCCTCGTTAAGGCTTTGATCGATATTGTGTGGGCTTTGTCAAAACATTGGCACATAAATCTATCTTGGTTAAACGCGAAGAATAAGCAAGTGATATTCACCGGTTGAAATATTGGTAATAACTTAGCTAGGTTATTCTAATAGGATTAGAAACCAAAGTCTTCGTCATTGTGGCTTCATCCTCTATTTATAGGGGAAAATTAACCCTAGGACTTGGTGTTGACTTTCCTAGGATATCCCCAAACCATGGTTAATTTACTTGGGGATCGGGCAAAACTGGCTATGATCCAGCCTGGGATGCTGGCTGAGTACCCGGTATGATCCTGTTGTAGAAGTCCAAGGACAGACAGGATCTGCAGAGCAGATGGTGTGGTCAGTAGGATCGACTGTAGCAGTGTCGATCCCTCCAGGCAGATCTTCGAGGCATATTTTCTTTCACTTTGTTCGCTCTCGAAATGCCAGCCCAACACGACATTTTCATTCTGCTCAGTAGTCTCAATATGTCATGGCATTTCCTTTCCTCTTTTCTTTGCTCTCAATTCCTGCACATCATCAAAGAAGTACCTTTCTCATAAGACAGCACTGCTTTAAAAATTAAATGTCGCGGTAAACCGAATCCCACCACATGCAACTACATGCTTCTAAATGCATCTACATGGTCTTAAATGAGCTCTTAGACATTCAATAACTTAAGTGAAAAGGTCCCAAAATGTGACCATTTTACGGTGTTATCACATTCCTCTCGATTATTCACAGAAGGAGTTGAATGAGTGTAATCTTATTTTGTTTGATTTTATCATAGAATAAGGTAGATTAGTGTTGGTAATTGTTTTGATTCTTCACAGAAGGAGTTAGGTCAACGTTTGTCATGTTGCTTGATCCTTCGCAAAAGGAGTTGGATCAGTAATGACCTTTCAGTTGATCCTTCACGGAAGGAGTTGGATCAGTGATAATCTTATGCTTGGTTTTTTTACAAAAGGAGTTAAATGAGCATCAATTCAGTATTCATTTCTTCACAGAAGGAGTCAGAACAGCATCACCATTTTTGCTCGACACCATCACAGAAGAATGTGGGTCAGCTTCATCACTTTGCTTGATTCTTCACAAAAGGAGTGGGTCAGCATTGTGTTCTTGCTCTATTTCATCACGGAAGGAGGTGAATCAGCATTCGTGCAGAAAGAATGAGTTTATATAGGAGAGCTCATTCGACCTAGACTGATTCGTTGTGGTAGAATGGAGTGACCATGTAGGAGACTTTGTTTGTTCTATTCAAGGCATTTAGAGATGAAGAGTTCATATAGAAGTTCTTGCTAAGATTTCTGAGTTGATTTTTATCAGAGAGTAAAGGATTCATATCAAGAGAATCTAGAGCTCATGATTTACGGTCAGTTAGATAAAATTGGTTTTTTTGTCTTTGCTTCATTCCCTTTCCATGACAATGAGCAAAGAGGGGCAGCTGTCATCACATATTTTATCCGAGTGGTGACACAGACGTGATGTTTTATATTATAATATATAGTATATAATAAATATGTTGACATAGTATATAGATAATAATATAGTTTAGGTATTAAATGCATTATATCATGTAGTTTCATTTTTGTATGAGATAGTTTACATATTATATAGTTGCATATATTAAGTATTATAGTGTATTAAGTAATAATTGCATGTTATTAATTCATGTGACATTGCATGTTATTAATTTATGTTGCATTGCATGTTATTCATGTTGCATTAGATGTTAAATAATTAGCATGTTACATTGCATATTACATGGTTTTTAAATAGTAGTCCATGTCATATTAGAGTAGCCCATTTATTTTCTTTTAAATAAATAATGAAAAAAAACACCCCAAAAATAATAAGTCCATTTGCATTAGTATTAGTCCATTTACATTTGTTTTTACATTGGCCCAATATACAAGCCCACATATTACCATATATGCATAAATAAATAAATAACAAAAAAAATCCTAATCTGCAAGCCATTGCCACCGGTTTTACTTGGTGTAGGTGGGAGGACTTTTGACTTTGAAATTTGAAAGGAGACAAAGCATTTAGCTTGGCCCAACTTTTTAGTTGGTGATGTCATTGATACATGGTTAAAAAAACAAATCAATCATAACCACTGATTAGCCTTGATCTAATGGCTAGGGAGGCACCAATCCAAGTGAAACAAACACAAATGCATGGGAGCCCTTGGATGAGAAGTAAGATCTTAAGGCCACCATGAAGCCACATCATTAATCCAAGTGATAAATCAAGATTCAATCTTAGCCATTGGATCAAGGATGGATCCAATGGCTAAGACTTCGTCTTCTCCAAGAGGAAGCTAAGGCATCACCAACATTGCCGCCGGCAGGGGAGTTTACCGAAGTGTCACCGGCGCGTGTGGTTTACTCACCAGTCCATTCTTCTTCCACGGTGTGCTACCTTCGTCCACCGTGATACTCCTCCGCCGCCGATCAAGTTCGAACCATGCAAAAAAATCACAAAAATTAGCAAAAAATCAAAGGTTTCTAAATGTTTTAGATCCGAGGCCGTTGCAACCGTTTCCTAATGGTTTTGGGTAGGAACGTTTAGATCCGGGGGCCAAAATCCACAATAAAATATTTTCATCATTATAAATAATAAACACACCAACATTAAGCATTTCAAAAGAAAAGCAAAGCACTAGGAGATGAAAGATTTTACCTTCGTCAGAGGAAGCCACCACCACCTTAGGAGGCTCGGTTTTGCTATTAGAGGTGAGGTTTTCCCCTATTTTTTTTGCATTTTTTGGGGCTTGGTTTAAGGTTGTTTGGGTGGTCAGCCGAAGGTGGCCGGCGGTTGGAGGCATCGGTCGACGTTGGTTTAATGGTGGGGGAAGGTGGCCGGTGTCGGGTTTGGTTAGTAGGTTGGGTGTTTGGATGGTGGTTTTGGGTTTTGAAGGATGAATATTATTTTAGGTGTTCTTGGGTGTTCTTGAATTTTATGGGAAAAGATGGGTTTTAATCTTTAGAAAACAAGTTTGGGTGGCTTTTGGGTGTTGTTGGAGGATATGAACATTTGATATTTATTAGGAAATATGAGTGTTTGATCTTCCAAAAATAAGTTTCGGGTTGATTTTGGTGTTTGTATAAGATCTAAGCTTGTTTTTTGGTTGAATTTTGTGATGAACATTAAGAACAAGGGAAGAACTAGGTTGGTGTTGGGTAATTTTCAATATTCCTAAATATTGAAAGGGGCGGTCTTAAAATAAAGAGACATCCGTATTCATTATTTTTTGAATAAATAAATATTCTATCAAGTGGTCACCGTAAAAATTAAGTAGGTTCACTAATTTTAAACGAAAGGGTAGGGGTTCGTTTCTACATTTAAATGGCTAAGGACAAATTGTTCGATTAACGTCGAAGGCTTGATCCTCGTTCTTTAAATCAAGGAATGTCCTTATTCTTTTAATAATAAATTGGTTAACTTTTTTGTTTTAATTTTCTTTTATGGTTTAATACTTGATTAAATTCTTTAATTTTTAAGGATGACAATATTTTATTATTTCGATTAAAATATAAGAAATGATCGCTTTAATTTCAATTAAAAGATTAGTTTCTTCTTTAATTGGAAATAACAAATATTGTGTGTCTCTCGAATTTTAAAATATTTTAGGGAATAAAACGACATTAAAAAATAAATATTTGAATTTCTTAATTTCAATATAGGGACAAATTTATAATTGGAGATACTAATTTTGGGCGTTGTGGGAGTGTTAATCCTTCCCTAAACGTAATCGACTCTCGAACCCAAAATCTCTAAATCGCATACCAAATCCCGTCTTTTTAAATTTTTATTTATAAAGGCGTATCTCGGATTTTAAACATACATAATCCCAAAGGTTGATGGCTACTCCAAACATTTCAAATCTTTTCTAAAATTCAATTTTCTAAATTTATTTCATGTTCGCCACTTCGAAAAGTCGTCGCGACAAAGGAGAAGGAGCAGGTGGTGGAGAGAGGAATGGAATAGAAGGGATTGTGGTTGGGATTGAGGGGATGGCTGGTGGAGGAGCCAGTGTGGGCATTGGTACATTAGGCAAAGTGGGAAAAGTAGGAATGCTTGGCAATGGAGGAAGAGCCCCAGGCTTTGGCAATGCTGGTATTGTTGGGATCGATGGCAATGGCGGCGTTGGGGGCAGTTGCTGAAGGTGACGAGCAGCTTGCCTAACATTAATGCTTGAAAATGACAGAGCGATCAAGAATGCTAAAACAAAGCAATTGCAAGCGGCCATTATTGTTGCAGAGATTTCAAACCAATTAAGCAGATGAAAGGAAGTTTTCTCTTAATAGTTTGGATTGAGGAAGACCAAGCATGGGGTTGGGTTTATATAGGCCTTGGAGAAGGGGGAGTTGGTGATATCTGATCATCTGTGGTTGGGAAATGAGAATTTTTTGTCAAATTAAACATTTTTCGTAGCTCATCTTCTCGTGGACATCGGAGTTCAAAATTGGTGAAATGTTGGCATAGTCGACAACTTAATTGATTAAGCTTAACAATCCCATTTGTTCATGAACTTTAACAGTGTTTTCATTTTGGTCGTTCAACTACAAAAATCTAAATGGCTGGATACATGTTTTAGTTCGCCTACTAACTTCGACCATTTTATTCTTCTCGGTCAAATGAGATCTTATACTCTCTTTATCAGCGTGATCGGTTCCTTTGTAGTTTCGTTTAGAAAAATAATCATGTGGTCTAATCCTGTTTCGTCATCTGACATTTTTATTTTAAAAAACTTAAAATTAGCTTAAATTTCAAATAAAATCATACAAAATATAAAATAAATCCAGAAAATTACCTAAAATAAGAAAATATTTTTTTATTAGTTTGGGGCGAATACAAACTAGTATATGTTCAAATACTTTTAACTATTTGACATTGAAAGCTCATATCTCTACAAACATATGTGGTGCTCGGACTCTATACCTCAATGAATAACAACAATTCTTTAATAATTAAGATCGTTTGGTTCATGTTAAAATAAGAAAATGTTAAATCTAAATTTCCTTATAGCATTGCATGTTTCCACTTTTTTTCTAGGAAAACCCTAACCACCCTCTGACAATTATTATCGTTCAATCCTTGCCTATCGTCGATAGCTATTCGCTATAAAATTAATATAAATTTTTTGTATTTCTCTCTCCTTTCTTTTTCTCAATTTGATTTTATTTAACTTTCACCAAAAATCAACGAAAATTTATCCAAAGTTTTAACTTCTGATCTTTGATCTCTAATAAAAACAACACGTTGAGACTAATTTTGAGATATATAGTTTGTTTCCTCAAAAACTGTTTCTTACAATTCGGACTTTTAGGCTCAAAACTTCTCAAATTCAACAAATCCTCCATAACCTCAAAAATGATGGATTTTTTTATGTTATAAATGTTTTTTAGAAAAATCTAAACAAATAAAATAGTAAAGAACAATGAGATGAGTTTATCGTTATTTAGAGTGAGAATATTTCAAAGATGGGAGGTTTGTGAAGGTGGTTAAAAACGGGGTGTTATGCAAATTGAATGAGAATAAGAAGATAACATAGAAGAAATGAAGATAGAAGAAGTTGAAATTTCAGCAGAAACGTGTAGAACTGATCACAAGTTCTGTTTTAATTCTTTAAAATCACCTCCCGATCTTGAAGGTCATGATTAAACTAAATCATTCGTAGAGACAGACATATGACTCTTTATTAGAGTATAAATTTAGGGATTTATATTAAAATTTTAGTAGGCGCGAAATTACAAAATTTCAAGAGATAAAAAATTAAATTATCAGTAAAAAATACAAAAATAATACTTAAAACTTTATGAGTTTCAGGAGGTGCGATTGCACCCTAACACCCTTCTCTGTCCATCCCAGATTATTGGTTGCCTTCTCTATATAAGTGATGACAGTGAGTGGTTCACAAATCACAGTCGTACAATGCTCTGAAGTGCGTCATCCCTGTCGGCCCAAGGGAGCCAATTCTCCCATTTGATAGATTCCTCCCCCGTTAAACATTGCAATTACAATTCCACGCATTGATTGGGATCTTCATTATGCCCATCGATTTGCAGATAATGCGTTGTGCTCATGCATGTTCTACATTTATTTTGTCTATATTTACTGTTTGATTCTTTTATTAATTATCTAAACTTGTCAAGAACTGATCAGATTAACCATCGATTCAGTAATTAAATTACTTCATAGAAACAACATAAATATAGAATAATCTCATTACAATCAAATAACGTATCAAAGTACAACAATTAATGGGAACGGGGTAACTCCCAATATATGAATAAGAAGAAGAAAAAGAAGAATTCTGAAAATCAACAAGCAAAGATGAAAATAAACAAATATGTAGCAAAATGCTACGAGTAGAACACATTAAATCAAATCCAATAAGGAGGAAATCATAACTGTCAACAGACACAGAAAATGGGGGTATTCAAGGAGTAGAAGGAGCAGGTGGTGGAGAAAGGAAAGGAATAGGAGGAATTTTTGGGGTTGTGGGGATTGAGGGGATGGTTGGTAGAGGAGGCAGTGTGGCCGTTGGTACATTAGGTACAGTGGGAAAAATAGGCATGCTTGGTAGTGGAGGAAGAGCCCCTGGCTTTGGCAATGCTGGTATTGTTGGGATCGATGGCAATGGCGGCAACGTGGTTGGCAAAGTTGGCATTGGGGGCAATTGCTGAAGGTGACGAGCAGCTTGGCTTACGTTAATGCTTGAAAATGACAAAGCCATGAAGAAGGCTAAAACAAAGCAATTGAAAGTGGCCATTATTGTAGGAATGTTTTGAAACTAATTAATTAAGCAGATGAAAGGAAGTTTTCTCTTAATAGTTTGGATTGAGGAAGACAAAGACCGATGATGGGTTTATATAGGCCTTGGAGAAGGGGGAATTGGTGATATCTGATCATCTATGGTTGGAAAATGGGAATATAGGTCAAATTATACATTTTTGGTAGCTCATCTTCTCATGTACATCGGGCTTCAAAATTGGTGAAATGCAGTTGTGGTTGGCATAGCAGCAAGCTACCTCAAGTACTTAATTAATTAAGCTTAAACTACACCATTTGTTCATGAACTCTAACTGTGATTCATATTGGTAGTTGAACTACAAAAATCTAAATGATTGAACACATGCTTTAGCTCCACTACTTTAGGAAATTCTAACGTTGACCATTTTATTCTTCTCAGTTAATTTTGTTTATTCAAGTCCACTAATTATTCTTATTAAAAATTTGAAGAAGAAAAAGAACTAATGGCCTCAGATTTTCAATTTGTATATTCGAGTGCAGCTATATTTATATTTTATATATTTAAGTATGTATAATGGCAATCGCCACTAAAGCCATACAAGAAATCATGCTTACGTCACTAGATCCGACGTTTATCTTACTCACGCTACTAACGCTAACAACAATTCCCTTACGCCTATATGGCCAATGAATAGGGCCCTAAGCTCATTTACCCGTTATTTGAATTAAGGCCAACCATAGTTGCCACCTACTCCAATAAGGACATCATCAATGTCTTAAACTCTTTAAGAGTTTTTTAAACATCTAAAGAGCTAATACCTCGTATTAAGCTCGATTAGACATCTACGCTCATGTCCCAAATTATATCGAGGCCCTTGGCCAAATCCTACTAGTTACTATTGATACTCTGACTTGGGTATCGAAGTCCAATCCTTGAGTACCGATATCATCTTTTGGAACTGATGCTAAAATAAGTCTCAAAACGAACTTGATGAATTTAGATATCAATACTAACATGTTAGTATCGATAACACCAAATGTTTATCGATATTCACTTAAAGTATCGATACTCGCCTAGAGTATCAGTATCATTTCTAGCCTCAATGTTCGAATAATTTCCACTGGTATCGATATCATGCCTTCTATATTGTTACCCTATGAAAAATATCGACACCCAGAGGAACAATATCGATACTCAAAGTCAAACTTATTCAAATTTCTACATCAATTTATCATGTATGAATACTATATGAACAATACCGATACCAAAAACCTAAAACTCTTTTAAATCCCCTCTACATACACTACAACAAAATAGAGTTTTAGAGGCGTTTTTTTAGTTCTATAGCGGCGTTTTTTAAGCGCCGCTAAAAGCACTCGCGGCGATGGTAAAAACACCGCAAGAAGCGCCGGCTATACCAGCGCCGCTAATGTTAGCGACGTTTGTAAAATAAAAACGCCGCAAAATCTATAGCAGTGTTTTTGCAACAAACGCCACAAAAGGTCATATCTATAGCGGTATTTTTTTGATATAAATGCCGCAAAAGGTCATATCTATAGTGGCGTTTTTGTATACAAACGCCGCAAAAAGTCAGATCTATAGCGGCGTTTTTGTATACAAACGTTGCAAAAGGTCAAATCTATAACAACATTTTTGGATACAAACGACGCAAAAGGTCATATCTATAGCAGCGTTTTTTATACAAACGCCGCTAATTTCAATTCGTTAGCTAAGATTAATTGATATTTTGCATATTTCATTTCTTCTCTACATCACCTGAATTTAATATCATGTAACTTTATATAAATAATAACAACCATAAATTCTAGTAACAAAATAAATTAAAATTTATAAACATTAAAAATGTAATGTAATGTAGTTTGACATTGTTCTCTAAAACAATAACATCACTTGTAAAACCTTTAGATACTTCGTTAACATTCTACATTTTCTTTACAAACTTGAGAGAAACAATTTTGTTGAAGCTGCTATTTACAGACTTACACTCCTCCAATACGGGGTTGGAATAAGATCTCTCCAGTTTGAAAGTGTTCCTTTGACAGAGTAAACCGGCCCACAGCTGGAACCTCCAGTGATGATCGAGTATCAAGAAAGCAAAGGTAAATGATCTTGCATTAACATCAGCGTGAAGGTCTGGAGGATCCAAAGGTCAACGAGGCATTGATTCAAAAAGGGAGCAAAAACACCAAAGTAAATTTATCAATTTTAAACACCTTTGACACTACTCAAACCATATAAAGGAAATATCATTAACCCCAAGTTACAAAGGATTATAGCATACGTCTTTCAGTGTCCACACAATGTACAACGATTCAATGGCTATTGCCCAAAAACATTACAGCATCAGTAAAAGGGTACTCCCACAGATTCTCCAAAAAAAATCAAAGAACTTGAAAGATTTCGGAAACAGATGACTTTCAGAGTATCGTTCCTGACCATTCCCCAAAACTCGGTGCAAAGTGGACCTAGGCACATCCAAAAACCAAGTAATTAGTCATGAAGGAGAAGAAGTTAATATAAACAATAAGGTTTTAAAGCAATATGTATCCCGAAAAATGAAATTGGAAATAAACTCCTCAAGAAGTATATTATTAGTAAATACAATTAAAAAACTAGTACAAGTAAGAGAAAATAGCAGAGAAAGACGGGGAAGAAGTTAAAAACCATTATCTTATGAACCTCAGTTTCAACCTAAGAACAAGAATAGTTAAGCAGCAAGTGAGGTACTATTAATTACAAAAGACATAAATCAATCCTCACCGGAATGAAAAAAAAAATATAGATGGAGACAGATCATGCAATTAGATATGAAAAAAAAATGGTAGGTTAGAGAGTTCATAGGGAAAACCCTAGTAGGTTCAATCCTTTCAAGATTGCTTCATGTGTCTTTTGATCCTATTCATGATTAGTAAAATAAACAAATAAATCAGGGAACATATATTTCCAGTTATAACTTTGTACTAAGAATTTTAGGCGATAAAAAGAACTCAAAAAGTGAACTACTTACTCTTAGTAGTAAAGGAATGTGCCAAATATTTGGAACGTCATAGAGAGTGACAATATTTTCGGCCTGGAAAGAAGTCATATTTCTTAATAGCAGTAGTTACTGATTTAGGAGATGGAAGAGAATCAGACAAATAGAATTCATGTTTCATTACCGAAACATGGCAAAACTGAGAGAGCTTTAACTTGACATTATCATCAAGTGCCTATTGCAAAAAAAGGGCAAGTGAATGAATAAGAAATGTCAAATTAGCACTGGTAAATACAGTTGAAAAATATAAATAAGGGTAGAACCATTGTACTGCAACAAGCAAGAATATTTGGTCTCAAGCCAAGTCCTCTAAGTCCCCGAACACTGTGCTAACAAGCATGTTCCCTCATTGCTTGATTCTTCTGAATTCCTTAAAACGAAGAATTATACCATTAATTCAAACCTATAAGTACAGAAAACAAAGAGATAACAAAGAAAATATATTATATCTGAGTTTGAGCTCCGCAGCTCCTAGAAAAGTATCAAATTATTAGAGTGAAGCTTTCAAATAAAAACATGGACTAGAAAACTTTCAAGAGTTTGGTTATATTTTCTTCTTTCATTGCCAATGAAAGCTTGACCTCAGTACTGTATAATACAAACAAAAAGGAAAAAATAAAAAGAATAATATATTCAAGGACTTACCTGTATTTGGTACTAGCATATTTATTGGCCACATGTTTAAAGCTTGAATTGATCATCTTACTAGAACCCTTCACCATGAAGTTGTTTTGATATAAACAAAAAAAATCTCTTTTAAGTATTTGCACCAAAAGCTACTCATTGCTTATACTGAATTTCTTCTTCAATTGAAGTAATTGGAAGGCTAGTAACAATCAAGGACCATGAACTCTTAAATTGGTAATTTGAAATAAAAAATTTATAAATAGAATGGGAGATTTATATTCTAGTCCAAATGAAGGTAAAGATACCCTAGTAAGGACTGTCAAAACCAACCAGAAAAACATTATATAAGCATGCCAGAGCTTGTCCCTGTAGAAGAAAAACAGTTTCATGGTTTCAAAACTTTATAAAACTCCAAACTCAGAGATTTATGATGTACCACTCCAGTCACAATTGAATGATAAGTAAGAAAGAGAGAGTTCAACATGAATACACTTTATAAAATGATCTTAAGGAATAGTGCCATATTAAATAGTTAGATGGATCTCTTGACAATTATGCGTCCAAACTTGAACCTAAATTGTAGGCACTTTACCTGTGATAAATCTAATTTTGAATAGAATTTCAGGAACTGAGCCTGCAAATGCACTACTTGTACAGAATTAAAGAAATTGAAATATCAATTACTTTAATGTTAAATTTGTGGACCTTGGATTTCAAAGTAATCATGACTTCAATAAACCCCAATTCTGTAGACATCATAAAATTTTCAACGACAATTTTATTCACTCGGATAAAATGTAAGAAAGCATCTCAATTTCAAAATTCACGGCACCATCACCCAGTAACAGATAAGTGATTTCTTAACTTTCCAATCATAGGCAAACGACAACAAATTTAGCCAAAATTAGTTACGGTAAGCATAATCCTGGGTAAACAAGTGTAGTAAACAGAGTCAGAGGATTAAACTTGAGTAAACTCATGTAGTATGTCTCTATGTCTTGCAAGTTTCTAGGTTACCGAAGTAGTCGGTGTAGAAGATGCATCACATCTACTCATACCATCAGTCCAATAGTTTCTCAAGCACTTATTGAATTTCAATTTCCATTGCTTGACCCGGCCGGTGGCGACCCAGTATCTACATAATCTAAATGTAAGTAAATATTATCACAAAGAAGAAGAAGAAATGAAAGAGCACCAGATTCCTAAGGCTTTGGATTCTTAAAACAGGAAAAAAATCGCATTAAACAAATCTTATTTATTCAGCTTTTAGAATATGTTCAGTTCTTCAACAAATTTGTTCCTAATTTCAATAATCTACCAGGAAAAAAAAAGCAACACACATTCCAGAAAATAATAATAAAAGGAGGAAAACGAGCAACCCTCCTGGGTTGAACCTAGCACCGAGCTTAGCATAAGAAGATAGTTTGACATCAAGATTGTCTTCGATCTTTCGAGCTTCTTTCCTCAATTCTTTCCAACTCGATTCTAGTTGATTCAGGTTCAGATCCATCATTTGGATCTCGGTAGTTCATCTTCGGATTCCTTGCTCTTCAATTCCAGCGATAAGTTCTTCTAAAAATATGGATAAAGGAAACTAAATTAGAGATACCATAAAAATGGCAGTGAAACAGATGGGTTTGGGGTTTGGTAGTGAAGAAGATGGGTTTAGGTAAACGGCGGGATTGAAAAATGCGTGAAAGGGAAAAAATGAAAAAAAATGTTAAAGGGCGCAACACTTAAAATTTGTAAAATTGCGGCGTTTGTAAACTCAAGTGTATAGCGGCGATTGAATAAAAACGCCACTAAAGTAAGAGTCTTTAGCGGCATTTGTATAAAAACGCCACTAAAGTACAATTGTATAACGACATTTATATAAAAAAGCCACTAAAGTACAATTCTATAGCGGCGTTTGTATAAAAACACCACTAAAGTACGAGTCTTTTGCGCCGTTTGTATAAAAATGCCACTAAAGTACTACTCTTTTGCGGCGTTTGTTGAAAAAACGCCACTATCGATGAACCTATTGCGGCATTTTTATAAAAACGATGCTAAAGTTACCATTTTGTGGCGTTTTCTATGTAAACGCCGCTATATGTTTAAAATTAATGTTGTTTACTCCCAAAACGCCGCTAAAAATGCCGCTGTAGAACAATTTTACTGTAGTGATACTACTATTGAGACCTAACATCTTTTCTAAAGTCTAAGAGGCCCTATAGATTCATTTAGTACATAAATAACCTATGGTGAACACCAAATCAGACACCCAAGCTAAAGCCTATGCTTAACACCCAAAACATGCTTCAAATCTAAATCTACTAGGAAATCGTTTTTATGATATTCATGATAAAAAAATTAAAGACAAACTATCTTGCTCAAAATCAACCAATGAAGGGCTTGAATCAATTTTTGTTAGAAAAAAATGGTTAATCTGAGATAAAAATAATAATAATAATAATAATATTGTATAATTGAATGAACCAAAATAAATAAAAATTAAAGTAGAGGAACGTGATTTGTTTACTCGTATGTAGACAATGAATCGGATGAGTAGAGTATGATAAACCGAAGAAGGATTTTTTTGTTGAGGCATGTATGAACAGTTTCTTTAAGACATATTCATCATCTCCTCGGTGCTTTGAGTAACGTTGGACGTCGGTCTCCCAGGATACAACAACAAACGATCACAACAGTAAGCACAACCGTAGTGATCAGTCGAACACAATCTTGCCTTTCTCTATCACCGGAAAGAACAAATTTGAAAGGAATTTCTAAGAGTTTTCCTATTCCAATGTTTGGGAATTGTTTTTAAGAATGAGCCTTAACTAACCTATTTATAGGGGAGAGGAAATTAATCAAAAGGTTATGACCTTTTGATGAAGAGATTTGTTGAAAAGCTAATAGGTATAATTGAATTGATGCAATTTTATACCAAATAATAAGTCTATTCACCAAGTGACATAACTTATTATTAAAATATATCAATTTTACTCAATTATTTATTATTTTTCCAACAATCCCCCACATGAATGAAATTGGTGATTTCAAACACTGACTCGATATGGTGATAGATTCTATATTTGATATTTGCATAGGATAGGTAGGCTTCCCCCTTTGAATATTCCCTTTTGAAAATATGTTTACCTTATTGGATGTCCAGTAGACGTGATGTCCTTGAACTGTCATGATGTTGGTGTAAGCGATGACATACCTCACACAAATATCTCACTGACAAGAATTTGGTTCTCATGGTTATGTCCATATAGCCGTGGCATCTCCTAGTTCTACAAGAGTTTAGGGAACTATATCGCAATAGTCTCTTTGAAGAGGCTCCACTTCACTCTCATATAGGTGACTTATGTTGTTTGGCTTACCGAAACACATAGCGGTCATTAAAAGCATTGCTTAACCTTTTCCACATTTTAGTCACTGTTTTTATCATAAGAATGAACTTGGGGATAAGAACCCCACAGTGACCTCACAAGGTCTATGCAAGTAGGTTGTCCCATTGAACTTAGATCTTGGGATCTCCAGTCAACTAAGTTGGGTTTTCCATCACATAGCGCCTTAAATATTAATGGGTTTTAGTCACATTCCTTTTGATGTTTATCAACTTGATCTCGATTTAACTCATTGTTTACCAGATCCTCAATGTTATCTTTTGATCTTACAAAATCAATATAGATAACTCCAGTTGAGATCAATTGTTTAATGATATTATGTTGTCGATGTATGTGTCTCGACTTATCATTATACTTATACAAGACACCCCCACACTTTGATGTAGTTGTAGGAAAATTTTCTACATTTCCATAACTCATATAGTGTCTCACCTATTTTCTTGTGAGTTACCTTATTTAAAGGTAATTTGCTAACAAAATAGCTTCCGCCACATGTTCTGTGACAACTCAGAATATGGCCAAATGTCATTCATAATTCTTTAGCAATCTTATGGATACTATACATTTCATATGGTGTATCTGACAATCCATTCAAGATGTAATTCCGACATGGAAACTTAAAATGCTTCAAGCTTTAATGACAACAATGTCTATCTCATCCTCTCTATGAATAGGAGAATCATCCTATATTTGACCATATTCAACATGATTAAATATAACATCTTATGTCACTATGTCTTGAAGTTATATCCATGACTTTCACATACTTCTCGTTGTGGATCACAACCACTGACATCATTAAATTTTATTCAAAGTCTGAATAGGAATCAACATTTCAAATCACGAGTTAGGTGAATCAGTGGGGTTACCATTGTTTCGTTTAAAAACACGTAACCAGAATTTGTAAATATTCCAACAATAAATTGAAAGTTAATTCAAATTGTTTTATCATTTACTTCTATTGAACAACAAAATTTAATTAGAAATTAAAATTCTAAAACAAATTTTGTAACAATGTTGTTGCCTACAAACGATTTATGTTACCAACAGTAAATCAAATAAATTTTGTTGAACAACAAGATTAAAATCCTGAAACAGAATTATAGGCCCGATTTCTGTTCACAGACATATCATAATTCCTTTCGGTACCTTATTTATCGCAACAAATTTTAGTCAAAACTAAAATCCAACAATTAAGTAATTTTTGTTAAACGGT